TTTTTTTAATAATATTTATTAAAATAAACTAATTTTAAAATATTTTTTCACTTAAATTTTTATAAATATGACTGATATACACTTTTTTTTATATATTATTAAATATTCACAGCCAAAGACAGTAATAAAAGTTGAACAATTCAAAGGTCTTCTTTCCGAGTTCAATATAAAAAATCTAGAATTTTTTTTTTTTTTAATCTCACGTATATATATCAGCTAAAAGTCGCAAGAAAACTGTCGGCTTCTCTCTCAATCTAAACCGAATCCTAACTACCTAGTGCGCTTACTAATTATTGACTACTCGAGCTCAGCATGAAATCGAACATTGGTAGCGCGAGAATGGCGCCACTGCCAGTTAAGAGTATAGAAATTAATTTATCGAGCTGTCCAACATCACCATAGCTATTAAAATATCGAAAGTGTAACTCCATCCACTACTAGAAAACCATACAAGTTCGGTCAGTTACACTGACCGAACAAACCCAAATTTTGATCGAAAAACTACTATTTTGGTCAAAATACTTAACCAAATTATTGGACCGAATAAGCATTGACGGAAATACAATTTCGGATGGAATTTTGTCTTGACCAAAATTATTCATTATTTCGGTTAAGATCATTGACCGAAATATGGGGTAAAAAATCATTAAAAAAACTTAGTTTCGGTGAAAATATTTGACCGAACTATTAAAATAATATTTTAATGATAAGGTTTGGTCAAGTGTAATGACCGAAATAGTCATGGATGACTGATTTCCCGATATTAGATTTCGGTCAAGAATATTGACTGATTTAATCAACATGACTATTTTGGTAATTGACACATACTATTTTGGTCAAGTAAATTAACCAAAATTATTGTAATTTTCGTAATATAATATCATGTATTATTTCGGTCAAGTTTCTTGACCGAAATAATAATACAAAATAATAATAAAAAACTATTTTACGAATTTTGACCTGGATGATAAAATAATTCTAATAAAAATTGGTGTTTAAAAAATTAAAATTTTAACATCCTCAATTATTTACCTTTCATATTTATTTAATTTATTGCTATTTCTAATTTTAAATTACAATTATAATTTTATTTCTAGAAATGTAAAAAAAATGATAAAAAAATCCGAAAATACAAAAAATACTACACATTTGAGGATAGCATTAAATCCAATTTAAATACAAAAATAAGTTAAATTTTTATATATAATA